CCTGAGTTGTATGCTCATGTAGCTGCTTTCTTTTTGAAACACTCCCTTCACTGGAAAGAATGACTGACATACTGTGGTTATACAGCTTTCAGCATTTGACAAACATTTTCTGCAAATCATCAGAGCACACCTCTTGTTAATTCAAGGAACATAATGGTCAATTCTTGTTTTCAATGATAAAGTTCAAGTTTTCATGTGAAAAGTAGAATGTTGTGAACTCTTATCTATCCCCATGAGTTTAACAATTTAATTCTTAATTTTTAAATGAAATCTGTAATATTATCAATAAGTCTTATTTTTTGGTATTGAACTAATGAAATAAGTTAAAATTAGGAAACCATATAATTTAGTGAAACAATATTTACAAGTGACCAATGCATAATGTAAAGAAATGAAAAGTTTTAATGTGAAATAAATAAATTTATTGATACAGTTCCAGATTCAGCTTTGGAATTCATCTTTAAGAAACCATCATTCATTGAGTTATAATATAGTATCAAGGAATAATGTCCAAAATTATCCTTAAAGTATTCTAAAATACTTCTCTCTTCTCAACTACATACCTTTGTGAAAATGGACAGTTCTTTATATATTTCAACCAAAACAACATACCCAAACAGATTTAATTGGAACCATTTGTCTTCTAAGCTGTCATACATTGAAGAGATTCGCAAAACCTGTAAAACTATGTTACTCTTCCCATTAATATTTTCTATTTTGGTAAATGTAATTATTTTCCATAAGTATATATTATTTTTGTTAATGTGTGATGCACTTATAATGTTCATTTAAAATAAATGAATACGTAAAACTTTTAAAATTTCCATTTCAATCTCCATATGATTTATCCACAATAACCAAAGCTCTTTTATGTCCTCAGTATTTGTGAGTATAATTGGTCCCAAGTATGGAAATTTTACAAACTTCTTCTTCAGACTGCTGGCCTTTGTGGCCCTAAGCTCCGTGGTGGCCATGCAATAGACGTACTCAGCAGTGCAAATATTATAGGATTGGATTCACAGGACTGAATCTGATCACGTCTCACCCATTTACAACCTGTGTGGTATTAGCTGAGTGACAGCGTTCCTGAACCCTCAACCCTTTCACTAAGATGGACTTACCTCTCAGAGAGCCAGAGCACTTGTCTGAGTTGCCCCAAGTAATGTGCCTTCCCCAGTGTCTAGGATGCAGTAGGTGATAAATGTGCAGACCCTTCTGTTTCCCCAGGTACCACATCTATCCTACCATTACATCTTATTTTCTCTAGTACCTTATTTTTCTTCCAATATAGTGAGAAAAAAATACTTGCTTATTTCTATACTCTCTCTAAATCCTTCTTTGTGAAAAAAGTTTTCCAACCCAAACAGTAGCTAATATATATATTTTTTCCCCCCTGGTACTGGGAACCAAACTCACAACCTTGCACTTGCCAGGCAGGCGCTGTGCCACTGAGCTAAATTCCCAGCCCCAGTAGCTAATATTTTTTGAGTGTTTTCTATATGCCAGGCATACCTTAGTTTAACTCTCTGTATTAATTCATGTAATCCACACAAGAACCCTAAGAGTAATATATACATGTTATATATATAAGTTATAAAATATGTGTATAACATGTAAATTAGCTGACACAAACAGTAACTAAGACCACACAACTTAAGAAATGTTGGAGCCAGGATTTGAACCCAGGTTAGAATCCTGTGTTAGAATCCAGTGGTTCTATACATACCCAGTTAATATACGACTAATAGGAAATGGACCTAATCACATTAATGTCTACTACATTTAGAAATTTCAACTGTGTCTTGTCTCCTCTTGCATCATTCTACCTATTGTGAATCAGATGGCCCACCTTCCTTTAAATGGGTGCATCTAGCCAGCCCACTGACTCCTGTCCTTGCAACAAATAGCGCTCCATGACTTGAGTCACTTAAACACATTCTGGAAGTTGCTTCTGGCAGATAAACAGAAATAACATCTTCCTCCCAATTAATCAGTTGCATTTGAATCAATGAGATGGGCCAGTCCCTTATTTTCGATTGTTACCTACTGCCTGTGTTGACTATCTTTACATTGCCAGACTTGGAGAGAGTGGAAAGTTAATATTCTTTGTTTAAATCAGTATGTTTGGGTCTAAAGATACTGGAACTGGTTTTTTTTTTAAACAATTACATAAGTGTCCGACACACTGTGTATACTCTCAGTAGTAATCTCAAGACATCATCATTTTCAGAACAGATGCTACAAAACTGTCAGAGGAATCCAAACAAGCCATTGATTGGTGCCAGGAGAATACTTCTGTTAATTTATTTCTTTTTTGTTCTGACCTAGGTATTAAATGACTGTCATTATTGGTGTCATCTCTTGTGAGTAATCAAGTTAATTCACTTCATCAAATATTTTTCTACAGTAAGACATAACTTGTATTATTTTCCCTCAGCTCAGTGAAAACCTTGGATTCATAGAATATTAACGTGGAAGGACCCTAAGGGACCGTGGAGTTAGCCTCTAATTTTATAGGTGGGGAAATTACTGGCAAATCATTCACAGCAGGAGCAGGTGCAGGGATCTGGGATGAAGGAAGATGGTATTTCTTTTCTATTTCTTTCGATACATTTCTTTATCAACTCTGGTGACCCAGTTTCCTCAGAATTGTTTTCTCCACTGTGTACTTCTTTTCACTTCTGTCCTTTTCTTACTTGGTGCCCAAGTAAGCATGAGACTTTTCCCTTTACACCCCAAAGGTTCCATTCCTGTGATGCCAACATGGGGTGCAGACTTTCATCAGAGACCAGCTGGAGCAAGGACATGTTAGAACTGTATCTCATGCGCACATGAGAGATGACTGAACAGAATGTTAGATTTCTCTTTTTGTACAACTCTTGGCTAAGAATGGAAACTCCTACCTTCTAGGGATTTCCACTGTGATCTCTATATCTTTAGCACACCTCCAACCAATCTTTTATGTCTTCTGCCAAGGTCCTTACTGATCTTAGAGGACATAGTTCTTTAACACGTCTCCGTGTTGTTCTTAATCCATCACTCCCTGAGGCCTTAATTTCTGTTAGTTTCAGATTTTCAGTGCATTTTCTTAATTAAAAACAAGTCTTTTCCTAATAGGAATTCTGATACGAACCACAAAATAATGCATTTCTTTTTGCCATATTACATTATAAACTGAAATATATTTAATGGGTTTTTGAACAACTAGTGAAAATGCTTCATTCTACAAGGGAAGGTCAGTGTCTTTTAATTTAAACTGACATTACAAAATGCCATAGAGTGGGTTGCTTAAACAATAATCATTAGGCTGGCAAGCCCAAAACTAAGGCACAGAAGATTCTGTCTCATGAAGGACACTTGGTTTGCAGATGGTTGCCCTTTCAATGTATCTTCATATGGCCCAGAGAGATCACCTTTCACCTGTCTCTTCTCATAAGGACACTAACCCTATTGGTGAGGGCTTCATTTTCATGACCTAATCACTTTCCAGAGGCCCTGCTTCCAAGTAGCACCACATGGACTGACTGCTAGGTTTCAACACGGGGGGACATAAAGGGTTCACAAACATTCAGTCCATAGCAGTTAAATAAGGTAAAAAATGTTTTTCTGGGGAAATAAAGGAGGCAAGATTGAGAATAAAATATATCTAGCAAATACAGCCACATGGAGATAAAGACAGAATAAGGACAAACTTTAGCAGTAGCTGGTGCCTGGAGTCCTTGCGGCCCATGAGAGATGATTGGCAGAGGAGCACAGGTGCAGAGAGGAATATTCTCCTTATACCATAGTAAAAGATTTAGGTAGGCCCACAAGGCACCAGGATCTGTTCTTTTAGTTCTTTGACCTCTCTTCACACAGACTCTCCATCCTCTCTGGTCTTACATTAGTTGGGCTGCCTCATCTTTCCCTTGGAGGCTTGTTTTAAGAACACAGTACATCAGGAAAACAGACTGTTAGCTCAAGGTCATTAGAGCAAAAATGTGTGGATGGGTGGTAAGGCCTGAGCAGAAGTGACAAGTAGAGAGCAAGATTCTTCCCATGATGCTTTGCCATTCATTCAACTCTATTTCTAGACTCCAGCTAACGATTCATCTATCCAGATTTACTTATTCCAGCTCTAAGAGGAAGCATTCTCACGATAAAAATTTTCTTCCCAATTCCCTCTGAAAGAAACGTAAGCAATTTACAATTCTAGCAAATTTCCAGAGTAGCGTAAAGTTTATGACAAAAAAGAATATCAAAATACCAATATTTTGTTGATAGAGATCAGAGAAACTAGTAGAGAAGCTCTACATTTACGAGAACTGGTTGTAATAATGTTTAGCTATTCCACACCATCTGTGCGAACATGGAAATAGCCTCATTATATGTAAACACATAATAATAGTAGTTATTAAAATTTGATTCTCTTTGTACTGTACTCAAACAAAAGGGAAAGTAGAGAAGCTAAAGTATGTTTTCTATGAATGTAGAATTAGGAAAACAATTAGATGTAAAAGGAAACTGTTGAGTTTGAAAATTCTTTCTGGAATATCTAAAATTGTTATTTGAAAACCCAAGATTCCCAAGAGATAAACTAAGCTATTGCTCATGTGATAATTACCCAGAACCATGATGTCCAGCATAAAGCAGTCCACACTAATTATAATCAACAGGTCCCGTTTAGAAGAACTGACATCCACCAAGTCCCTTTTGTCCATTAAGTCTTTAATACATGCTAGCATTGTACCCTTTATTGGGTGGGCAAAGGGCTCTATCACCACCACTGGATTTTGACTTTTACAAGTTCTGCTTTGATTGTCCCCTGGCCTCATTCTAGTGGTATAAAATATAACAAAAGTTTGTTGGGTCTCTGCTATCCTCTAGGTAGTATGCACAATACTTGTCATGTACATAGGCACATATATGTATATGTTTTCTCAGAAATACAACTGTCCGGCAAAGTGAATATTACCATCTCCATTTTACAGATCAGGCAAAACTATTGGAAGAATTCTTAAGGCTTTACTTAATCAATACTTAGTTGAGGGTCAGGATTTCCCACATCCAATCCTTCTCTCCTTGCACCTTCTTATCTGTCTTGGTCTCTGCTTCTGAGACTTGTGACTAGTTAATGACCCTTAAACCTTTCCTTTGGTGAACACTGTAAAAAAGCAGACACATTTTGAATCATAAATTTGTGTTTCATAATCACAGCATATTCATCTTCCTGTATTAGCTTTTAAAATTCTTTTGAATATGAGTTGTCCTCACATCTGTAAACTGAAACTTGCAAAGTGGCTTTAACCATCAGGTGGAGAATGTATGATTATTCGATAACCTTTATAATTTTTGTCAGAATATTAAATACTCTTACTGTCAGTTGTAAATATAAATGGAAATGATGAAAATAGTAAAACTATTATGCATTTAACTTAAATATTAGAAATAGTAGTGAGAACAAAATTATTTTGTTTCATTGTAAAGAAAAATTGAGAACAGTATTGACAGTGCTTACTTTCTTATCACAAAACTTAAGACACAGAACAAGCAACATTTTTGTCCAATGTCACGCTCCTTTCTACACTTAAATTGATGTTCCACATTATAGTCTTTGTGCTTTCAACATGGTGCAGGGTGTCTGAGGATTTCTTGAATGTGCAGTGTCCCCTTCCTCATCCTTTTCTTCACAGCCACTTCCTCATTTATGTAGGTAAAGTTCACCTTCTGAGCTGCTCTGGCTGGACCTGGAATCTTCACCCGACAACACCACTCACATCACTTCTGCACTTCCATGTGTGTCTGATGGAAACTTGTATCCAGTGCTCTCCATTTTTATTTCTTTGTTAAACAATGTGGTTGACCAGTTCCCACTTTGATTACTTTTTTATGTAAAATGTCACGTGGCTTTATCACTGGGAGACAGAAGGCAATGCAACGACAAGCTTCAGTGCCTGTGTGGGACTTGAATCACATAGGCACAGGGGCCAGGCAGCAGGGCACTGTGAAGGAAATGATTAGGCTGGTGACTGATCATGGTGTGCAGTACATCTGCTATCTAGGTGATGGTTTATGGAATGAAGGCACGCAACAAAATTTGTACTTCATGAACTTTTTCACATTTGCTATACCATGGAAACTTGAATTAAGACAAAGTCATCAGGGAACTGACATTATGTAACTAAACCATGATGACTGGAACTTGCATGTTGTAAGCATGCACCGTGAGGACCAGCTGTGTTCACATGATCAGTCAATGAAGAAAGAATAATGAGAACCGGGCATGATGACCCACACCTGTAATCCCAGCACACTGGAACGCTGAGGTAGGATTGCAAGGTTGAGCCCAGCCTGAGCAACTTCACAATTTAGAGAGACCCTGTCACAAAGCAAAACTACAAAAAGGAGCTCAGTGCAAAGGCCCTGCATTCAATCCGCAGTACAAATAAATAAGTAAGTAAGTAAGTAAGTAAGTAAGTAATTGGGGTATTCTGAGATGTACTCCCCACTTTTTTTTTTTTTTCCAGACTGGTTACCTTTCCTGGTTATATCTCTGACTGCCAAAGCCGCACCAAGCGGCGATTTAGCAGAGGCAGGATCTGATTGCCAGGGTTTGCACACTGGTTTGGCTCCCTCATAGCCATGCTTGTGATATACCTGTATTTCTCTCTTCCTTCATCTTCTCTGATAAAATTGTAATAATAACCATACCTATCTTGGAGAATTTTGTGAGCCTCAAAGAAAGAATCCATGTAAACTCCTCCAAATGTATCAAATACAGAGTAAGAGACCAGTATGTTCTTTCTATATTAATTTATATCTTATTATTCATGGTTAATAGGCTCTGAAAAGTATTTACTGGAGAAACGTTTGTTGCTTTTCTGCGATGTGTCAGGTGCCCTCTAGACTGGTGGAAGTTTTTTTCCCCACAGACCTTACACTGTAGTGAGAAAATGAATAGAAACATAATTATGATTTGTCATTTAAAAAATAAAAATAAAAAAGATAAAATATAAAATCATAAAAAGAAAAATATATACTAACAGAAATAATCATGTCCAGTAAATCACGTCCAGCACTGTTGAAGGTGAGGTTATAAAGCTGCTAAAGGCAGGAAAAGAAAAGTGAATTTCCTGGAGGGCCTCAGATCTCTGTTTTTGCTTTGGGCACCACGTGAAAGAGTTACTTTTAGTTTTTCCCAATGCAAGCCTGTAAATCTGCCTTTAGAGAATTATTTCCACGATCATGTATTTGCCCAGTTCCTGAAGTCAAAGAAAAAGAAAAAAAAAAAAAAAACTGCTTTCACTAATATTTACTTACTGCCATTAACAGACCTCGATGTCAATGGCAGTTGGCAACCTCGCCACCCATGGGGAGTTTTATCTTCTTTTAGAGATGTGTTTGTTTGGCTATGTTATCCTAGTCTTTCTTTATGATAAGTCAAGGTGTTTGCTCATATAAATATTTCAGAAAGCAGTACATAGAGCCTCGGAAAGAATGCTTGAAAAGGAGACAGATTTATGTCTAGATTTTCTTCCTGGAACACTTAAATTATTTCTTCCTGTTCTTTAAGCAGGAAAAGAAAAAGAACCACCTCGTTCTAAAAATACTTCCTCTGTACAATCGTTCCACACCCAAAGCGTGTCTTAGGAGGGCCTGGCCGGGCTGTTGCTGAACTGCCTCCCTGTAGATGGGCCCGTGGGGGCACCCCTCCGCCTCGTTGTCCTTGTGCAGGACTGCTTTCCTGTGTGCTGTGGGAGGAAACACTCAAGACGCAGATACTGCTATTTTGAAAAACTTTAACTGTGACAAAGGTGGTAGTTTGATGACTCTTTGCAGAGTGTGGAAGAAAGAAGGCTTGAGACACCAGTGAATTATTTCTTGGGTTATTGTGAGGGTTGCGTGCAGGTGGAAAGGGTTCCCTCCCCCCTCGAGGTGCAGCCTGGGCACTGGGACGGGGTAGGTTCTGAGCCCTACTTGGCAGATCAGCCACTGGCTGTGCTTGAACGGAAAGACAACGGGGCTCAAACCACCCAGCGCTGCTTGTGAGCAGATGCTTTCTAAATTCTCTCAAGCCCTGGAAAAGATGAAGAGCAAGGACCTGGGTCTGCAGAAGGAGCCATAAAGGTGCCGTCTCCCTGCCACCTCATCTTTATGCATCGTCTCCCTGCCACGCAGTCCTTCACAGTGCCAAGAACTGAAGGAGTCAAATTCCCAGCGAAAATCACGCATCATTTTTGGTGGCTCAGATGGGCACCTGGGCGAGAAGAAGTGGATCTTCTGAAATAAGGTTGTATCACAAACTTCAATATTTTCACTTGGCAAATAGTAGTGCAAACATCTTCAGAGAAATTCATTTTAAAAGAATGCTCTAACATGCTAAAACAAAGTTTAAAAGGAAAAGAAGATCAGCAACAAAGGTATTGAAATGTTAATGTCAAAATCAGAGATTAATTTAGTTTGACATGTATTCAATGGGAAAATATTTTGTGTCAGGTTACGGCTGCCTGGTATGACTGTGTAGTGTGTAGATGTCATGAAAGCACTTGGCTAGTCACAAAGAAACCGTAAGGGCAGATAGAGGCACCAGAGTCAGGAATTTGGACTGGGGATAAAACAGTGAACCATCAGACAGACCCTCTGCTAGCAGAGGAAGAGGCAAGCATGTTGGCAGGCACTAAGGAAGCAGTACGTTGGACACCATGTATGTGTAGTGCAATGGGTACATGAAGGAGGACTCTTACCCAAAGGGGTCCTTACTGGAGGGGTGCAGCTGACCACAGCCCATGGGCTGATCTTAGAGACAGATTCCTGGACAGAATGTGGGCCATGAGGGTTTTTCTGACAAAGGGAAGGAGGTGGGCAAGATTCCAGGGTGCTGCTGAGATCGGCACTTTCTAGGTTCCAATGAGCTCAGTTTTAGTGGGCGAATCCAGAGGAGGGGTGGGGAATGGGCTGGGAGGCAGATGAAGACCCTCTCACAGAGAGCTCAGGGGACCATGCTGGAGTGTTTGGAGCAGTGGCCCAATGCATTTAGGGAAGAAGCGGGCTGGGATAGCAGGACCTGCACTGTGAAAGGAGCGCTGTCAATGCCAGGGCCAGACTGATTCGAGTGGAACAAGAGGAGAGAGAGGATACCTCCAGCAAGACTGCCGCGAATGCACCTCACATTGCAGATTTTACTTAGGAAGCATGTGCATGGTTGATTTAAACAATATTTAAATAAATTAAAGGTAATTACTTGGAATTGAAAGTAAAGTTAAATGAATGACCTTAGCTGTATATCCATTTGGTAAAGAAATCACACAGAAAAGCATTATTCTAAGTGCGTCTGAAAAACAATAAATGGATTGTCAATCTTAGCACAATATACCCCAAGGAAAAAAATCACTGCCAACATTTTTTTCTTAAACAATTTTCAGTAATCAAATTGTTGGGAGAAATGTTTATATAATTATTCTGAGAATTTTGTTCTAGTTTGTATAAAGCCATGAAAGAATTGTCATTTTAATGGCTCCTTCTGTTCTTGGATTATGGATTGTACAGACTTTAAGTAATGATTTATTTTTCCTTAGAAAAGCATGGTAATGGGCCTTTTGGTGCTAGCAGGTGAGGCTCCTGGGGTAATCTGTAATGGAAAGATAGAGACTAAAGGAGCAAAGTTATTCTATAATTAAATATTGAGAATTGTCTGTTTTTTCTTAGTAGCTCAAAAAGAAAAAAAGATGTGAGAGAGGCTAAACTCAGAAAAGGGAAGTGGCAAAATGGAGACAAAGGTCTCGAAAGATGAGCAAAATGGTGGCCAGCTGCAGACTGGGAAGAAGAATCAGAAAGAAACAGTTTAAGAACCTCAAGGTCAGTGGGATCGGAGACCAAATTATAAGTTGTTCATTCAACATCTACACAATGTCTTTCCATCATATGCAAATTTATGATGCATTTTAATTGAGCTTTAATTTTATGCCAAACACTATGGTGAGCACTGACATTATCTTAAAATCTTCAGAGAGTTTGTTATCTTCATGACCAGACTCCAAGTGTGTGTGTGTGTGTGTGTGTGTGTGTGTGTGTGTGTGTGTGTGTGTGTAGGCAGGAGGGAGAGGTAAAGCTGTGTGTGCTCATATTTTTGAGAACATAATTCAGAAGACCAGTGGAAGAGGGTGAATGAGCTGGTGACAAGATGACCAGGGGTACACATGAGTAGTTAGAAAGAAGAGTTGAGGGAAAGGTGAGGCTGGAAATCTTGATTTAGAATTAGCCAAGAAGTGCAGGTTGGCAAAATGTGGCAACAAGATACTGTCCCTCTAGGTAAGGTGTATAGCCTGTCTTAGTATTATGCAGTAGTAGGTACTGTAGTTCTCTATCCATACCTCTGGAGTTAATCCCAGCCATGCCCCTTGTAGCAATAAGGATTGTGGGCAAGTTATTGAATGTTCCAGAACATTCTCAGTGTTCTATTCTGGATTTTCCATTTTGTTTGTATTTGTTACATGACACTGGTTGGTGCCATCTGTTCCCAAACATACTCAGCCAACAGGAGTGACGACACACATCTGCCCCACCTAGAGATGTGAGCTGCACTCTCAATTGCTGGTTTCCATACATGGTTGGAAGAAGAGGTTGCTAAAGGGAACTGGGTAAAGTCATATTAGCTCTTAACATTTCTCTTTTCTCTAATTCTTAGATAGATCCTCTTTCACTGACATCCCTATCCCCAAGAATCTCCTTGCACCATTTTTCATAGAAGAATTATCTTGGGCTGATAGCATTTTCCCAAATCTTCTATTTGCCCAGCCAGCCTAAGAGAGTGTCCTTGATATATTTACCCTGCTCAGCTGGGTGGTACCTGGTAATGCTCTCTGTCCCTGGGGAAACCTGAAATTCCTGACAGGTTCCATGTAGGGAACTGGACCAAATCACAACTGTGACAGGGTACTCTAAATGCCTGTGGGAGCACAGAAAGGCCGAGAATCACTGATCAAATGATCAACAGTCCTTGGAGATGTTTAATGTAACTGAAACATCAGGACAATATGGTTAGTCCCTAGACACAGGATTAAACCTCAGACTTGAGCAGCATAACACACATCTGTGGAGGTTCCGTTTTGAAATGCTTAAAAATCCCATTGATGCTATGGGACTGAGAAAAAGCTCATTTTTTCTTAAGCAATTGATCTCATTCCCCAACGCAGTGCTACCTTTCCCATTATAAATGGAGCTACAGCTCTCTTTGGGCTGCTACCAAAAATTTTCTAAGGAACATCCATCACATAAATGAGATTTCCTAATCGTTTAAGCACAAGGATTTTCCAACATTCTAAAGAAATTGATTACTCTCAGTTTAAATAAGAAAATGTGTCTTTCTTTTAAAATATAAACAGTGGCAGCCACAGAAGGACTGCACCAAGTGCAGAAGGGAATTTTTTCCATTAAATATTTTCTAGACATTGTCATTTTCTTAAAGACCACAAACAAGGACTACTACAGATTTTAGCTGGCTGAAAAGAATCACAAATTTTGCTAATTTGGTATTATTGTTTCTCTCCATCCCTAAAATGGCAGCAAAATAAATAAAATGGTGAAATTTTATGAAGTGAAATAAGGTCATTGCGAAAAAACATATAAAAAGTTGCTGCTAATCCTGTGTATTTGATTTTTTAAATTATATTTTTCAATGCAAAAAGACTGAAGTCAACTCGAGGCTACCATGAAATTATAACTTCAGATAAGAAGAGTTTTTGTGTCTTTGATTTTTGGTGCTGACTTTCCTTTTCTACAGACAAAACATTTGATAATAATGCATTTTAATAATAATGCATTTAACAGTAACAAAGAAAAATAATGCATGTGTGATATGGGTGGTAAATTTAAATAGTGACCCAATTTGTATCCAGAACTCCAACATTAGCCTTTGCTCTCTGCTTTACAAGAGACAGATACTTGCAACTTAAACAGAATAAAGGACATCAACTGGCATTCTCAGTGCTCTTAATTAGTGTTTCCTACAAATCAATAAAGAAAAGCAAATAAATAGAAGAAAATGTGCAAGGGATGTGAAAGTGTAGTTCACAGAAGAGGAAGGTTGGCAGTCAATAAGCACAGGAGGTTATGCCCAGCCTCACTTATAAAGAAAGAAGGGAAGATTAAGGTAGCGGTAGGGTGTCATGTTGCTCCTGCCCAGCAGATCAGCCAAAAGGAGGGAGAGGCCTGGGAAATGGAGACTGGGTGGGGGCTTGGAGTGAGGAACTGGACTCACAGATTATGCCATTTCAAATCAGCATGTGCTTTGAAGGACGTTTTGGCATCACCTGGAAAAGCTGATGTTTTTCTTTTATTATGAAATATCCTGAAAACATAAAAGGTAGAGAAGATACCACAAGCATCTGTATGTGTTTTCTCTGACATGAAAAATTTACTGTAAACATGCCCTGTGTATCTCTTCTTTCTCTTTCTTCCCAAAGGAGACTGCTCTCTTGAATCAGTATTTGTCATTTTTATGCTTATTTTACTGCTTGGGTGTTCAACTATACACTCAGTCTTTGAGCTTTTTACATAAATGATATTATTATATTGTATTTCCTTCCCTCAACCTCTTTTTTGTTTTTACTTTGTTTTGTTTGGGCTCAATATTATATTTCTGGGAATTATTCATAGATGCATTTATCTATATATCCATGATATATGTAGCTGTGCCTTGTTAATTTTAACTCTGCATAGTGTTCCTCGGGTAAACATGTTAACTTATTTTTCAGTTCTGTGCAGATGATCAATTGTTTTATTTTTCCTGTAATTTTTAAATTGTAAACCGTACTGCAGTAAATGTTCTTGTGTAGATTTTTCCCATTAGTGTGTTTTTCTGAGTGTGTATCTCACTCTACTACGGAGTAGTCTAGACCAAACTTCTCAACCTCTGTATGTATTTGAACGTTCTTAAAATATAAATTCTGATTCAGTAGGTGTGGAGTTGGAACAGAAATACTGCCCTTCCAAAAAACTGTGAGGTGAAATCAATATCTCTGATCCATGGGCCGCCTGGGGAAATTATGAAGTCTTATAGCTGTTTGCTTTTCAAGTAGCTTTTGAGTACCTTCCTATGTCCATCGGTACAGCCTCCCCACATATACCACAAAAAAGTTCCTGTGTTTAACTCTTTAAAACTGAACGGACCACTCAACACAGTCCACCAAACCTACCATAACAAGGTGCTAAAAAGACACCATAGAGTTTCTTTTTTTTTGTTTTGTTTTGTTTTGTTTTGTTTTTCTCCGGTACCAGGAACCGAACTCATGACCTTGCGCTTGCCAGGCAGGCACTTTGTCGCTGAGCTAAATCCCCAGCCCCACCATAGAGTTTCTTTACAAAGTCCTAAATCGCCATACTGCACCTTGAATTTCATGTTAGATAAAGTTACAGTGACCCTTGGCCACCCAGGTGCTGGCTCTCAGCTGTTGCGGAGCAGAGCAGCTATAACGATGGAGCAAGAGGATGTGAATGGCGTCTACCTAGAGGACAAAATGCTGTGTGGTCCTTGTCTTTTAGTTTCTTAACTGATTAGCAAAAATCTGTTTTGTTTTTGATGTATGTGTTATATATTTTAATTAAAAAATGGTAAGTGTAGCTCACTCCCCCCAGAATGTAAAAAGAATGAAAGGAGTTGTACTTGGAGTTCTGAGCCTTCTTGCCAGGGATAGGTGCTATCACCAGAGTTTTAAGTCCCATGGTAGGCAGACCTGTAGGGAAGCCCCATTGTTCTCAACTCCTGATCTCTCACCCTGGGCTGTTCCATCCCTTGGGGTTGGCAGGTCTTGTGGAACAGGGCGACGGCAAAGGGATGAATGTGATCACCTGAATGTGATGGTGCGGTTAAGTTGTGTAAGAATTAGCACCCATCTGGTTTGAGTTTCTTGGCCCTTTGCTGGCTTTGAGAAAGCAAATAATCATGGTGGGAACCACATGTGACAGAGAATTACAAGGGAGGGCAGCTTCTTGGAGAGGACAGTGGCTTTCCCCACAGGGACAGTCAGTGAAAAAGTAAAGCTCTCAGTCCTACAACTGCAGGGGCTAAATTCTACCAACACCAATGTAAGTGCAACAGCAGCTCCTGCTCCAGTGAAAACTCTTACTTAAAAACACAATCATGGCCTTTGCCTTGATCAAACCCTTGCAGAAGATCGGAAAAGCCATGCTGACTCTTAACACACAGAAACTGTGAGATAATACATGTATTCCTGCAACATAACAATGTGCTGAGGTGACACTGTTATGCAACAATAAAAAATTAATCCAGCAACCGTCCATAAGTAGTATACATATGCAAAAATATATATGCACATTTGCTCCCATCTTGCAAATTATTCAACATGATAATTTATATAGCTGCCCCTTAGTTTTTAAAGCTATGTAGTATCTCGGTGTGAGGGAGGCTGAATTTTATTTAACAAGCCATTTTTTAATGGACATTCTGGTTATTTTCTTTGACTTTCAATATTTCCTGCTGTATTACCAGAAATATATGAAAGTGACTTGAACAGCTAAGGGCAGTAAATAATATTTAAAGAGACATTCTCTTTAGCGCTTCCTTATCTGTCCTCTTGTCTTTTAATCACTTCTCCCAGCTGAAGTTGTTACTTGAGTTTTGACCACTTTAGTGTACTGGGACTGAGGGGTTCTCTGGGATGTAAGACTTTCAGGGCTAACCCTGGGCCAGTCCCAAGAAAGAAAGGGCAGCTGATCAACCCATAAGGCCTTTAAATGTCAAATAAGAAGATGAGGGAGGAAACTTCAACAATTGTATATGATGTCCTCAAATCTCAACTAGCAGAAAAGAAAAAGCACTCCCCAGGTCTAGCTGGCAGATGGGTCTGCAACTCTGGCTTGGAGTTCTCTTTGAGCCTCTGCTAAAAGTAAATACGCAAGTGTCTTTATCTAATATAAGAATGAAAGGAAGACTTTGAGGTTTCAGAACAGTAATCTACCTCCCTTTTCAAAGGAATTAACCACTCAACCTAGAAGAATGATTATCCACATAGGGCTTGGATTATCACCCCATAAAGCAGCAGGATTCTTCTATTATCACTAAAGAGAGCTGCTACCAAGCTGGAACAAACAGGCAAGGCAGAGAGTCTCCAACAAGTGAGAGACTGAGAATAATAATAAAGGCTTCACAAATGTGCTAGAGATCAGATGACCTGATGTTTGAGGCAGGTCGGCTAAGAGCTGTAAACAAATTGCAGTACTCCACATCCTGGAATCTCTGTTTTCTCATCTGTAGGTGCATGGTGGGTGTTCAGTAAACAAAGATACCACCTCTCTCCATCTCTTAGCAGGCTGGATGGACGGAAGTGTATGTGCATTCCAAGGAGGATAGTGGAGCATGTCCTAACCTCACGTGGCCCCAAATATAATGTGCACTTGAAAAGGGAAGAATGTGGAGGGAATGCGTGGTACTATCTCCTGCTCTCAGAAAGCTGAAGAATTTGCTTGCTGGGCACATGGTTACTATACCCAGAGACAGCAACTGGACACCTCTGCTCAGTAGCATGTTTGTGTGTTTCTCCCGGTGGTGGAAAGATCTCCTATTGTATCGTAACCTCTTCCTATTTTATGTACATACTAAAAACTATCAGTCTCCTTAGACAGAAAGAATACACTTCCACATACTTACAGTCTATAAATTAAAGCACCTTTTAGCCTTCTCTTTCTTGAGCTCCAAAATCCACATTCACATCCATTTCCTCAGCAACAGCAAATGCCTTTGTGTGGCAGGTTGGGCTGTTTGACTACAGCTGTTGTTACGCAGCCACTGTGCTCAGACACTGTTGAGAAAGCTGTTACCTGCACGCGCCAGTTCAGTAGGCAGGCTAAGTGGGACCTAAAGGGCCCCAGGCAACGGACCTCCTTCCTCTTCCACTGCAGTACTGTACTCCTGCATATGGGCACCTGCCTGTGTGCTTACTGTGTTCATTTCTAAGTATCTTGTCTACAGAGGAACATGAAAAAATGAGAGAGGGAAGAGGAAGGAATGAAAAAAGAAAACAGATTTGTACTAATAAAATAAATTTTTAGAAAGACGTATTGCATCTGTGTACCAGCTCCCCACAAGGATGCAAACATTAAGTGCTACAAATACATGCTAATAAAAAAAAAAGGGATGCAGTGATGACTACAGAAAGCCTTTAAGGTTTTTTAGGATGAATAGAAATCTGGAATTACAGCCATTTCACAACCAAATCAAAACTATATTGTGTGTGAATAAAAAGTATTATAGTGAAAGATGCATTGTTTTTAATTCCCCTTCAAAATCTTCCCCCTTGCCTCAAACATACTTATCCCATTAGTCTTGGCCCTTTCTGAAGCCTTTCCGGAAGTCCTCTTTCTTGTCTCCTGTTGCTCTGTTCTGGTGTGCTTGATGTCCTGAACTGATGCAAAACTTTACCTTTCATGGTCATTTTGACTTTGGGGAAGAGCTAGAAGTCTGCGGCGCCAGATCTATGAAGAAGGTGGATGAGAACGTGCTGTGACGTTTTCACAAGCCTGCCTTCCTGCTGGACGGCACTGGCAGCAGCACTCACTGTATTTTTGATCATGACACATGAAGACATGAAAGAGGACTTCCAGAACTGCTTCAGAAAAAATAACAAGAATGATGAGAATAAAGGAATTCAAAGTGAGGGGGGTTAATGGCAATGTGTATTTTACTGTAATGATTTTTTTAAAAAAATTAAGTAGTCACTGTATTTTTCAATCACCCCTTGCATTACCAGAAAGAGAACTATGGTTGAACCAGTGTTCCTGGGTCATGGGGACAAGGGAAGGACCCAGGAAGTGGTAGCAGCAGCAGCCTCCTCTGGGACTTCAGACAGTGCCAGGAAACAGAGGGTGCAGAGGCCCACTCTGATTCCCTCTGTACACTTTCTTTTCTCCTTCCTTTCTCACTGCCCACTGCCTACACAGAAGCCTTTCCGTGATGGGACCTCTGAGCCCTCCCACCCTATGATTTACAGAGCCATCTTCAAAAGAAGCTGAAATTCCATCCCTGAAAATGTCATTTGAGCTTTTAGCAGAAATCATTTTAGTCTTCTTGATTACCTCAGCCCAGAGGAGCCCTGCAGCTTTCACAAGTACATTCTAAGAGGGGGCAGCCGAGAACCCCAAGCTTCAGGCAGCAGGACGTAGATTGCCTACATTTTAGCAAGAGCAGTGGAAAAGACACACTTACACAGAGAATAATTACTCAGTCCTAAAGCATGTTCCCATTTTTAAATTGTTTTACTGTCCTAAGTCATTTATTCCTTTACAAGATATTTATTCAGCCCTGGCCCTCACCCACTCACATTTTGCTTTCTTTGCAAACACTTTTAATTCCCTTGCTTCTCTGTACCAAATTGGTCAGTGCCAGTACTGGACAAACCAAACATCCACTTATCCCGTCCCTGCAGCTGAGCCATCCAACACTGGCTCACCAAAGCACACAACGCTATGTGTTTGTCTTCCTTTAATGCATGTTTTTGTACATTGCAACTGGGCATACAGTACTGCTTGCTGACCTTATTGTTGGCTCCTGGTAGACCTGTTGTCTCATTCCTTAAAGTGAGTTCTTAACACCTTGTCTTCTCTACTCAATCCTCTTGTTTCCCTTTCTCTCTTTTTATTCTCATCAGATAACTTTGACTTAAAGTTGTAAGAGAAATTGAAAGCATTCAGACTGGAATTCCTCCTCCTCTGGCTTACTTGATCAGCAGAGCATGAACTGGACTCTCTACTTTCTCTGCAGTAAGAGGGAATGGATTCTGCCTCTTCTTCCCACCATATATCAACCACCCTTTTCTCACCCAGGAACTTCACTTGCGTATATATCTCTTCTTTCTCCTGCACCATTGGTTTCCTCTTTGTACCAAGTCATCCAATGTGAAACAAAGTGCTTCCAATCTTTAATACTGTATAAAACAGAATCACAAAATTATCCCTTGCTCCATCTCCCTATTGCTACAAATCCATTACTTTGCTTTACCCTCTCCAAGTGCTGAAATAGTTGTCTAGAGTTTCTGTCTGTACTGCACCCTAGCACTCTGCTAAACTGCTTCCTACTGCTCTGGATGACCTTCACTGTGCAAAATTTCTTCTCTGATTTTGCCTTACCTGACTTTCAAAGCAGTATTTCATGAAGTTGGACAGCCTTTCTTCAAACATTTTCCTTCTTGTCTCTTGGGAGATCACACTCTCCCAATTCCTTTTCCTATGTTGTGACCATTTCTTCCCAGCCATTCATTCTCAGTCTCCTTCAGGGACCTTGTTCTTTTGCTTGAACCTTAAAAGTTGGAATGTCCATGGGAGATGTCCCGGAACCCCTTCTTTTCCCAGCATATACTCTTCCTAGCTAGTTCTGTGTGTAGCATGTAAATGTCATTTGTAGTATGATGGAATTCACACTTGTGCTTATGAAACTCTTATAGTTTATAGATCACCAGATGCATTATTCAGTAATGTATCTTCCTGTCCTTCCCACTCAGTGACACTAGAACTGAAGATCAGCAACAAGATAAAGTGTTTTTCATTTTCTTTCTTTGTCATATTGCTTAGATCTAACTCATTACAAAGTTTGGGAAACACTGGAGAACATATCCTGATTACACCTGGTTCTTTCTTTCCATTTCCAATGCCACTTCCTAGACCCAACCGGCTTAGTAACTTTTTCGTTGTTGCTGAAACATAATAACTGACACCCACAAGTGAAAGGGGGAAGGGTTTATTTTTGGCTTACTGTTTGTAGAGTTTTCTATCCATAGTGACTGGGCTCCAAGGCAGAGTAGCATGGCAAAGGGGCATAGCAGAGGGGAAACAGCTCATGGTGTAGCAGGCAGGAAGCAGTAAGTTGTCAAGGGAGGATGAGGGACAAATACCTTCAAGGCCACACCCACAGTGATGCACCCCTTTCCATCAGGCTTTACCTCCTAATATCTATCCAGCTATAAACCCATCAGTGGACTAATCCAGTATCATACACCCATGACCCAATATCACACACCCGCAAGACAGGCACCCCCCAGTCATATCACCTATGATACGAACTCATGAGTCTTTGAGGAGACATTGGGATACAAAGTCCTCTTCCAAGCCACCATCATCACTCATCTAAATTATTCTATTAGTCTTTCATTGGTTGCCCCAATTCCACATAGGCATTGTCCTTACTTAACACAGGAAGAAACTAAAACTAAAAGGCGTCCAATGAACTTATACAATACAAAATGAGTTTAAGCAATATAAAACAAAATCACAAAAATCTTGTATGGTACATCTACCTGTAGCAGCACCATTTCTCTCCTTTCCATTCCTCAAGCATCCATCATCCGTGTTCACCTCTGTGTTCACCTCTACAGTCGGACAACTACTTGGGCAGAGCCAGACTTTTCTCCAAAGCCCTGAGGGCTTTGTTCTGCTCCTAGGACTGATCCTCCTTCTTTTTCCCAGATTTCTGCTTGGTGACAAGAAGAATCGTTGTTGTAATTTCTGCTGGCACACCTCGGTGAGAAGTGCCAGGGTCTGTTCTGAGTCCTTTCAGTCTCAGAGAGCAGGGAGTATGGATTCAGTCTTTTCCATTCCAGAAAGCCTGAAGATTTTAGGTGAATTGGTCCCCCACCCACCACTTTAGATTTTTGTTTCTAACAGTTCTCAGGCAACTTTCTCCAGCTGGAGAGATGGTCCACTGCAACCCCCCCACACCACATGACAGTGAGGCCTATCTGTGTCATTACCCAAGGAATGTATCACTGTTTAAGGAATGCTGCACTGTGACCCCCTCCTGTGAAAAGCAAAATCTGCCTTCAGGTATAGGCATAGGAATAATATAAAGGATAATTTTGCTTCAGCTGATCATCAGTGCCTCCTTTAGACCTGGGCAATAAAGCTGCACTCTACATAACATAAAAATATTAACTGAGCAGAATGGGTGTTCCTGCTACCACTGGAAGTCCAACGGGTGTGTGAACACTAAACGCGCATTCTCAGGGCTAAAATTGTTCCAGCCCCAGGATGCTGTTTCTCCATAACTTGCTCTATGGGTCCTTGAAAACCACTTTGGCTTTGCTGCTGCCAAGCCAGAGACATGCATCCTCTGCAGGGCAGGAAGAGCTCAGTGGTAAGAAGCCCTGAAGATTGAAAAAGGCGAGTGAATGAACATGCCAATCTCTCCTCTCAGGGAGCCCAAGTGCAGGAAGTGCTTGAATAACTAAGTGTTTTTTTCGCTCACTAGTGCCAACTGTTCATCTTCTTGTGTCTCTAGGTGTTCCAATGTGTGGTTCTGAAGATACTCAAGAATTCATGAGATACTTCCAATTGCGCATGGGTGACTGAGGGACATTGTGCGGTAGTAATAATTTATATTATTCTTAAATTTATATAAATGCAGTTCTGAATGTAATATACATGAAGAGGGACACTAGCTTCTTGTAAAAATGATGAGAAATTGGAATGCTAGTTTAAATAGCTTTTTACATTTTCTTTTCTTTTTTTCTTTTTTTCTTTTTTTCTTTTAAAGAGTAAAAGAAGGATAACATAATAATGGGGGTCTTACCAAATTACAGACAAAATGGTAGGAAATTATCAATGGTTATTGTTTCACATATTGTTATCTACAAGATAGTTTCTCAGGAAAACAAATAGACAAATAATAGTGAGTTACAGACAAAAGAGGTAGGAGATTATCAATAGTTGTTGTACTACACTTTGGTATCTTCAAAGTGGCTTCTAAAGAAAATAAATAGAGCTATACACGAGTGACCTATTGAATAATCATTAACTTTTCTCAATGGTTGTTGTAGGGAACACATAATGATAGACATGCATCCATTTATGAAATAGGATAGGAACAATACAAACATTGGAGAGTTATGGATAGATTAGTAGGAAAATATCAATGGCTGCTGTAATACATGGTGGTATCTTCAAAGTGGTTTCTCAGGAAGACAGAGATACGCAAGAAGGATCTAACAAGTAGTTATAGCCTAAGGGTTGTCAAAAATCAAGTGAGCCGTCTGGGGCCAAAGCCAGTTTTTGTAGCGTTTTCTCTCCAGCCTTCCATCGCATTGGGACCCCACAACCAGTTAGTGTCCTCTCCCCAACTGTCAGCACAGGCAGCAGGAATCCTGCTGCAGACCTCTCCGGAGCTCCACCACAGCCTGTACTGTCAGGGGAAGAATGGCTTCCAGGGAGTCTCCGCAGGTATTGTGCAAGTTCCTCCTGGTTTACAGCTTCTGAGCGGCTCTCGTGACCCCAGTCCACAAGACCTCTGACTCCTCGGGCTTAGTCTGCATTCTCATGTTCTCCGAGTCCTTGTTCAGCAGCTGCTCCTCCGCTGACTCTGGACCTTTCTGGTTCTCAGTGGCAGGAGCAAGAGTGGCCCATTGTATGGCATGTATTCCCGGGGGTTTCTCCATGTTTGAATTATTCACACATGTCCATGGGTGGGCATCTGCAGCTGGTGCATGGTGGGCCAGTTGTGTCATTGTTTCTCTGTGTCATGGTAGTTCTCAATTAAGTAGCAGCGGCCATCCTGAGGGCTGGAGCACAATAGCGCTGGCCGCCGCGTGGCTTCCCCTGAGCCAGGGGCCCTCCTTCCGGGCACCTACGAGGCAGGAAGCGAGCCAGTCGGAAGATCGGTGTTCCCGCCCATGGCTCCCCGTGTGCCAGAGGCCCTCCCTCCAGGCTCCTAGGAGGCATGAAGCGAGCCCCAGTGGTATTTTAAAATTTGAGACAAGGTCTAAATTGTCTTGGCTGGGTTTGAGCTTGTGATCCTTCTGCCTCAGCTACCAAGTCCTGGGACTACTGTGTGCTACTGTGTCAGGAATAAGGCCCTGGGATTTTTTTTTTTTTTTTTTTTTTTTTTTTTTTTTTTTTCTGGTACCAGGAACCAAACTCTCGACCTTGCTCTTGCCAGGCAGGCGCTTTGCCGCTGAGCTAAATCCCCAGCCCCCAAGGCCCTGGGATTTTAAAAAGCTTCTTCTTCGCATCCTCGCACCTTGGAAGCTGGTACAACTGTTAGGTTTTAACCATGCATCTAGCCAGGCATGGCAGTGTAGGCCTGTAATCCCAGCACTCAGGAGGCTGAGGTGGGATTATCATGAGTTTAAGGCCAGTCTGAGCTACACAGTGAGACCTTGTCTCAAAAAGAGGGGAGGCACTACTTTCTATGGTTTTCAAGGAGGCAATCTAACAAACCCCCTCCCTGCAGGCAGTGAACTATCTCCTGTCTCCTGCCACAGGACTGCAAGACCCTCAGGTGACTGAGGGTCATCAGCAGAAGGTGGCCTCACTCACCAGGCTCCAGGTGGCTGGCAAGCACATGGCACCCTGCAATGGCTCTGTCCATGTCAGGCTACTAATCATTCAGGTGTTCACGGGTGGGAACACTGAGTGTAGACATAGCCTCAATTCTCTCTGCAGCCTAGTGACGCAGATGTGACACAGCAGCCACACCTGCAATGTCTTGAGGAGCATAAATTTTCTTTTAAATATATATTGATAAGACTGTCATGAATTTTTAGAAAGTATTTTGAAATTTTAGCTTTATTTAAATTTTGATATGAAATTTAGATATACATCACGTTTTATTGTCTTTTAGTTTTAATATGTACTATTTAATATTTCAAAGGATGATAACTGAAGAGACACAAAAGTATCAGGTTTTACATTTTTATACTTAATTTACACCTTCAATGAAAGTATACTAAACTTTTAAAGATTTTAATACAATTCCATACAAAATTTTTACTTAGAAAATTATTGTCCAAATAGAACAGACTATATAAAAGTATTACTTTGGATGACATGATTAGTAAATTTTGCTAAAATGAAGACAGGAAAATAAGTTTCAGAAAAACAGAAGTTCTGAGTCCTTTTTTCATTAGTGTATTACTAATTCCAAAGTTGCCAGTCTATCAACAGAATGTGTAGGTTTACACAATAATAACTGACTTCAATTACTTTGGTATTTTACTCATATACATTCTCTGCCAGAGCTTTATGTCTCTTTTATTTATATAAAGAAATATATATCCAAATAGGATGATAAAACATAGTTTTAGTGGCATGTGGGTCTCAACTTGGACTCTAACTCAGAATCTTCTGACCCTCAGTGTTGCCAACAAACAGTACTTGCTCAAACAAGTAGTAGTGACATAGAGAGGCCAGCTTTCTTCACAGAGAACAAGGCTGGGGACAGCAGCTACACGTACAAAGGAGGGACTTTGCAAAGAGGAGAAGCATGCTAGGATGAAATCTGAGTGCTGCACTTGGAAAGACAGTTGGAGTTGAAGCTTCTGATGTGCTTCCAACTCTGCCTTTGGATTTTATCTGACAGGAGAAAGGAATGACGCTCCAAGTGGGGTTTTGCTTAGTGGAGTTTCATTGGCAACCTGACTGCTTTGGAAAAATCTGGACCCAAGCTGACTTGGAAGGGATTATAGCTGGAGACATGAAGAGTAGGGTTAGGGAATTATAGTAATTTGGAGAGAGGGAATAAGAACATGGATAGATAATAGGAAGTAGAAAGATCTTTCTAAGTGGGAAGAGAATGAAAAAAATTTGAAATATGTTACTTCCCCCCACAAGAACTATAATCATTACCTACCACAAATGGATACTAATAAAAACATTTAGGATGAGATAAGACCATGAGGATGGGCTACTCATGATGGTATTGCTAATTTCTTAAGAGGAAAAAAGGCTCAAACTAGCAGGCTTGCTCCATCTTACCATCTGATGCCTTCTGCCATATTACTATGCAACCATACGACATGAAGACCCTCACCAGGTGTCCGGAAGGTGCTAGCACCCTGCTCTTGGACATCCTAGCCTCAAAAACTATGAGGCAAATGAACCTGTGTTCTTTATGAATTATCCAGTCACAGTTATTTTGTTATAGCAAAAGAAAATGGATGAAGACAGAACACCAACTAAAGTTAGCAGCTCAGCAGGGCCATGGGAATGAAATGGGACACTGGATTTAAGCAGTGTCTTTACTCAGCTTAGAAATATTTGATTGACAAATTTAGGCCTCAATGCTCCAGGACTGGAGAATTGAGGACATTAATATTCTACTTACTTCTAAAATTTTAACTTGGTCTTGAGCTTTTCCATTACTGTTCAGAATTCATATCTTTCAGCATGGATGAGATGGTGATATTCTTCAGGGAAAGACAAAAATCTGAAACAACTTTTCCTCTCTTCCAGGAAGGGGAGCTCCTATAATCATATTTCTGGAGATTGACCCTTGCAGCTGCAAAGAAGTTAGAACTCAATGTTTTGTTTTTATATATAAATTTATTTTTATTTTGATTCTGAATGGCTTGAGGTTTAGTTTTAATTGCTGTTGAATTTCTTCATTTAAAGTTTTTCACTGAGGATATACCTGCCGGCTTCATGGATGCTTGCTGCAGCAAGAGAAAATACACACTCAAGGAAACCATGGACCATGGGCTTTATGATGGGTTTTGAGCTTGTACAAGGTACTTTTGGGGCAAGTTCAAGTAATTAAGGGTGTGTTCCGAGAAGGCACCATCAAAAAGCAGACTATCTAAAAGTAGAAAAGAATGCAATGAGAGCAGAACTCCAATTGGAAAGACAGACAGTCACTCCAGTTTTCCGGGGGCGGGACTATTTGGCCATGTTGGTAGTTTGCATAGTGGCTGTACTTTGGTCTTTGTTCTGACAGCATGCCAACCTGGTCTGAGATTTATCCTGCTTCATCGCCTTCTCTGAAAGTGACACTCTGTGAGATTGATCATGCTCAATAGAAAATATGGAATACCTGCATGTGCCACAACAATTGTCCACCACTGGGGCTGCTTTTCTTTCTCTTGGGCCCTTTATGATACAGGGAAGTTTTACATTGAAAGGGGAGAGAAGAGGAAGCCCAACGTGAGAAGGAAAGATGAGAAACTTGAAACCCAGATAAAAACTTGAACCTCATTGCCCGCATGGCAATGAACAAGCTACTGCTGTACTTGTTCCAGCAATTTACCCAGTCATCACCAGCCAGGCTCTGAGTGCTGTACACCCTAAGAACCAACTGGCATTTCAGGAAAAAAAACAAATGCCTACCAATGCCACTGCTTTCTGGTCCACTCCAGATGCTGCGGCCAGACTCCTAGAGTTCAAATTATGCCTCTGTACTAAGTGCCTACCTTTCAGCATCCCCACTGTTTTCTCTTCTAGCAAAAGTACATGCTTTGTAGGATCATTGTAAAGATGAAAGGAGTCCACACTGGGAAGTTCCTAGAATAGTGTCTGGAACATTGTGTTAGCCACTTCTGCAGTTATTATCTTTTCCCACAGAACACTCCTCCAGCTCCAACCACACACACACACATTCCCAGAATCCCTGGGAAACTGCAGGATGGCAGGAGGGAACACTTCCACATTCAAGCTTGATTAGACGAAGTTAATTAGCGCTCCTGGTCAGGTCACAGTGGGTGGGTATCTCTGCCGCAGGGCAGAGGCAGAGCCTGGATATGGTGTGGGCACTCAGAACTGGACCTTCCCGTCCCCCTGGGTCTGCATGTGGCTGCCGACAGCAGAGTCATGGGGCCACCCACAGGTAAACACCCTGTTGAGTACAGTGGTTTGGAAGTGCCATTTTTCCTGGACTCTTTCTTTCAAATGAACACTTTCACACATAATAGATCCCAAATAAAGCCTACAAAACGACCACAATTTTCCCATTTTAAGAAGGGTCAGCTTCCAATTACAAGGAGGGGCTGTGCACACAGAGCGTTGGTGCTCTAAATCACAGGGATGGGCTCCGCATGAGGCAAGTCCCTTGCTTATGAGCATTTAATGCCTTCCTCCGCCACTTGGAATATATTATTTACTCTGTGTCAGAGCTTTGGCTTCTGCCCTTCTACCAGCCATAAAAATAATAGCCAATGTTTGCTCAAAATGACAAATCAGACAAGGCAAATATTATACCTGTGGAGAACAAATCCACCTGAACTCCTTTTGATCCCTTATCACAAGGTTATTTGGATGTGTCAGTGTAAGAGGATTTAGTTCTGTTTCCTTATCAGGGCAAATCTTACAAGCAAGCAGAAGAAATAGGTAAATACAAACTTTGATTTCAGGGAGCAGGGAAGGATCTCTGACCAGCCACTTACCCTCCAAAAAACTATCTTTTCCATTGGTCTGTTGCATAATTTCAAGTGCTACTCTTGGGAAGTAATTTGCATTTCAAGACATGGCAGGAGTTTAAATTGAAAGAATACATCTGGTTGTATGATTTGATATCAGTTAGTCACCACAAACTCGTGGTGGAGGTACAGTCAGCTCTCAGTATCATGGGGAATTGGTTCCAAGATCTCTCAAATCCCAAAATCCTGGGGTACTCAAGTCCCCTAGATAAAATGGCTTAGCATTTCCCATCATCTATGTACATCATCCCATATACTTTGTTATCTCTAATTACTTCTTATACCTAATATGATGTAACCATAATAAGACAGTTGTTAAATTGTGTTGTTTAGGGAATAATAAGAAAAATTTATAGGTCCTTAGTATAGATATAATTTTTTGAGTATTTATAGTGTGCAGCTTTTTAAATCCAAGGATACAGAAAGATACACTCTACCTACACAGAAAGCCAACTGTATTATCTTCAGCATGGCAGACAGAAGTCCAAAGATATTGGGCTACAATTTGCTACACATGTGAAAGTAGGTAAGAGCCTACTTGGATCCTAATGATGTGGACACTGGTGCCCCACTATTATCTCTGTATTCTGGCCTGTTGTATTGGCCAGTTGTATGCATTGGCAATTAATTGCCTGCTCTGTTTTTGTTTGTTACTTCATGAGCAAAATGCTGTCAACACGGATCATGATGAAAATAAGACAATTAGCATATTAATGAAAGGTCAGTAACCTGACACCTGACTTTAAAGAACCTATGCTAGCTCCTAGGAGTAAATTAACAATTAGGCAGAATCTCTAGGAATTTGGAAATGGCTCTTCCAGGACTATCTTCTAAAGGAAGCTATGTTCTGATCTTTAGGAAAGAGATTTTAGACCTAAATCATCTACTGACCACTACTCAGCCATCATGGCAACAAAAGAATAGAAAAGTCATGACATAGAAGGGAGCCTGAAACATACTATGAATGTAGGTGTGTCCAAGTGAAACACAGTACTTATATGCTTAAGTACTTCATCTTAGGTAGTGAGAGTCTATGAAAGTCTACATAAGTACAGCTTTAAGTCTACACACAATTGACTGCTTCCCTCTAGAGTGCATAGTTTGGGGGAAGTCAGCAGGCATTACACTGGGATACAACACATCAAGCAGATGCTACATACATTCCTGGTAGGCAAATCTCCGTTAACCCACACTGTACCAATTAGAATACTGAGTATTAGAAATGGGATTGGTATGAACACTGTTAGAAATAGGATAAAGGTGATCTCACTGGTAAAATGTAAGGTTTATTTGAGAAACACCTCTCTCACCCCTCCTGTTTTACATGAAGAGAGTATAAATACCCAGCAAGGCCTATAGCCTGCATGCTTAGCCCTGGAACCTGAGGTTCGTAATGGTCTTTTGTCTACTTTAGATGAGAGTGTTGCTGGTTGTCTGATGCTAACTCTAGTGCACAGAATAGGGTCCCTGGAATGTTGTGTCTGGGTTAAGAGAATCTCTCATGTAAGGCTGAAGCACTTAAAAGGATCAAGAACTGGACCTTCACTGAACTTACAGAGCTCTTTTTGCACATTACTTTTTTCTGCTGTTTTAATGTTTATTTAAAAAATACCTTGCTCTATTTGGGGGGCAACATTTGTGATACACTCTTTAGAGTCAGACAGTAAGAAGAATGACGAGTGGCTACCTCTTACCCACCTCAATCATTTTTTTGTTTTGTTTTGTTTTGTTTTAAAGAGGATATATAAAAAAAGAACACTAGCAAAAATACCAATGTCACAAAAACAAAACAAAGCAAAAACATTACTATTCCCTACCGAACAGGCACATTCACTAATTCAGGGTATAATTTAAATTATTTTCAGGAAGGGTGTTCTGTGATATGTAAACTCCTATGCATGTATAAGAATCTGTGAGAGCATTTCTCTAGGGTTGTGGGAGGTGATACCAGGATGGGGTAAGCAGCAGCTGTGGCCATGAGGTAGGGATGGCACTGGAAGTCCAAGGAGCCCTGGAGGAGCAGGTTTTTCCCTTGGTTCTTGAACCAATGATCTGTTATTCAGTTTTCCTCTTTGGTTTCTTTATTTCCAGCGATAAAATAAGGTAGATGGATAGCAAAACCTCAAAGGCTCCTTCTGGTTCTCCAGTTCAATGACTCTCATATCCAATCTCCAGAGGAAAGGAGCCAGTAGACCTCCCCACTTCTTTAGCAAGTCACCAGCAAGGCCGTTCTGTTCCAACTTCCTACATGAAATTCAGTTTATTGGAGGTGCACTTGGATTAACCATCCTCCCCTTGAATTCAGTTCTATTAGAGGAGAGTGGATTTTGCCCCTCCATGTCTTAGGAAGTACACAGACTTATTTAATTTAATTTTGAAGTAACAAATAATAGTGCATGAATTTTTTTGTACAATATATTTTGATGTGGTATTTGTATATATTGAAGAAAGATTACATCAAGTGAATTAACATATTCATTACCTCATATATTTATCACTTTGTCATTATTTAAAATCTATTCTTTTAGAAATTTACATTACCATTAACTATAGCTATATAGCTGTAGGCTGTGTAATACATCTCTAAAACGTATTCAGCCAATCTGATACATCTCACCCTTTGATCAACATTCCCCCTTTATTATCCTTTTATTCAACATCTCTGGTAACCACCACTGTGCTTTCAATTTCTATGAGTTTGACTTGTTTAGATTCCACAATGAGTGACATCATGCAGTATTTGTATTTCTGTGCCTGATTTATTTGAAGTAGCATAATATATACCCTCCAGGTCATTTGAGGGTGATATATTCATCTGCTTCTTGTTACTATAACAAGAAACCCAATTCTGACTATTTTATGAAGAAAAGCAGTTTATTTAGCTCACAGTTCTGGATATTCAAGGGCAAGGCACCAACACTTGCTCAACTTTGAAGAGGACCTCATGATCACCGGCATTACCATGGCAGAAATATTAATGGAGAAAAAAAATCACATCACCAAATGGGAAACCAGAAAGTGACTCCAGGGTTGGACTCGCTGTAATTACAGCTCGGTCTTATGAGTGATCAGGTGTGCAAGGAGGTGTACTCAGTCCCTTGAATGCAGCTCCCCCAATCCCATAAGGACTTCCCACTGTGTCCCATCTCCTAATAGCTCAATGATCTCTCTGAGTCCTACACTGAGGTCCAAGCTAACCTCGGATGACTCACTCAAACCATCCCCATGGCACTGCAGGTGAGAAATCGCAAATATCCATCACCTGGTGGGGATGAATTTAACTGAATCATTTTATTTCAGATAATGGATATCAGTTCATGAAGTAGAATGTTGATTTTCTCTGGAGGGAAGAAGTGAAAATGGAAAGCAATGAGAGGTCATTTTATCTCAACCTACAGAATCGAGGCAAGGCATACAAGAGAGGTATGAGCACTGGAGGAATGCAGATGTGAATGTGGATTAGCATAAATCTGGACCTACAAAATTCACAGGATACCAGGTATTTGGAGAGAGAAGAGTAATTCAGCAAACATGATTGCTTAGCAGATTTGCTTACAGGTCATTGCTATTTGCACAGACCAAGTGCCATGGCAAAGCCATGGTGAAGTCTAGACCTCAGCTTTTTAGATCTGAGCAGAACTCTACCTAGAGAAAGTCCCTTCACACCCTCTAGATCAATTTTCACAAGGAAATATAATTTTTTCTGGCTTTGGTTTGCCTTTTGGGTCGTAAGAACTGAAAATCATTAACTGCAGAGTGGAGAGTTCTCATGTTCTTCAGCTCCTGTCAGCTCCCCGCTTGGTAGACATGGCTGAAATTGGCATTTTCTTCCAGTGCCACACTGCAGAGTGGGCACAGCAAGCAAGGGGCTCCTGGGGTCAAGGAGGCCAGGAGAACACAAGGATAGAGGTTGATGAGCTGTCTGAGAATAACAGAGACTTAGAGAGATTCAAATATCCATTTTTTCTGCTTTGGTAGACTCAACAGTTAGAGAAAATATGGAAGGCCCTGTTCTCACCAGGCATGTGTGCTCTTTCACTATTTGAAGTCCGTCCACTGGGAAATAGGACTTCAGCAGGTAAATCATGAAGCAGGTGGCTTGACAACTCTTGAGAGCCTCATCCATCCCTTAACTTCACTCCAGAGAGACAAACATTAATTTCATCAAGACCAAATATTTCCATCAAGATAATAATGTTCAGCTCCCATAGCTAGGTTATTACATTTCTGGGAATTTATTCTAAGGAAATAATTCTAGGAAAGAAAATATAATTTAGCCTGCTCGTTGCAGCAAAATTATTTATAATTGTAGGGCCATTCAGATCAACCTTAGTGTCACACAACGGGGAATGGGATATAAACTATGCTACTTCCTTGATGGATCATTAAAATAATAATTATTAAAACTATAGGACACTAAGAGATTTGCAGTTGAATTTTAGTGAGAAAATAAGAACATAAACTATTACCTGTATAAGACTACAAACTTTAAAAATGTATTTCTATGAACTAGGATGACGAAAGACTGCAAAAATATGAAAAAACCAGAATGAATACTCAGCTTTTGCTGGTGGAAGTTCAGCTGGTCTTTTGCTGTTTTTGTTTTTATCTTTCTTATTGTGGTTACTCTGCAGTGTAATTCTGGAACAGCTGGTCTGCAGAGAAGCAATTGGAAATCCCTGGTCTCTGACAGTATTTCCTGAGCGTGTTTCATGGTACACTAGTTAGGTCGAGGATGTTAAGGCGTTTGATGAAAACAAAACAAAAAAGAAAAACAGAAAAAGATTTTCGACCAAATGAATGTTAAATCCGCTTGAACTCAAAATCGTCACTGTAGGGTTCCTTAAAGCCTTCAAGGTGCTGGTATAGAATGTAAATCTCCCATAAGGGAAATGAATGTGCACCCTTTTCAGCAGACGTGAGGCCGCGGAATCGCATGTCCTCAATCCGCCCCGCTCCCAGTGCCTTCCTTGTGGTGTAACCACGTGCGAAGGAGCACGCCGCAGATAATTTCTAACCCTGACTCACACACTCGCCTCCCTCTGTTAGAAGGAAACAAACACTTCTGCAGAGCCCAGGGTGCAAAGCGGTGCGTGGCTCAGCAATTTCTTTCAATCTTTCAAGGTCTTACTCAAGGGTTGCAACGTCTTCAAACCCCTCCCCTACCCCGGGCAGATCTAATCTTCTTCCCCCTTTGTTTCGCTTCTATTTTGCCTTTTGTCATAGCGCCGCGTGTTCCTCGACAGTTACTTGTGTCTGCCCATCAGCTGGACCAGCGATTTCAGCCCCGCAGTGTTTCAGCGTCCCCTGGGGAGTGAAGTACGACACAGTACCGGACACCAGCCCACACCATCCCCGAACGGAGTTCAAGGCCGGAGCAGATTTCATTCATCTTGGTATTACCAGCTTCTGCCACTAGGTGGCAGGCACAAATTTTTGCTAAATTGATATGCCATCGCAAGGCTAAAAGAGGTAAGTTTAGTTAAAATCTGGTTATCTTTTTCCTCCCAGTAAGACAGCAGATTTTCATTAGCTAAATTTTCTCATTTGCAATTTTGATTATAGAAAGACGGCTACCAAGTATTCAGGAGCTGTGGAGAAAAATAATGCAAAAGGTCAACAGCACTTGGGCAATCCTAAAGAGTGAGAGAATGTCTTTTACAAGAAGTCCAGATTTCCATGTTAAGTTTTTTGTTCCGCCTCAATACAGTGCCTCGATGTTTCTCTCCAACTCTAAGGACTTGGAATTCCCCCACAATGTTTTGCAGTTCAACTAGCTGGTCCTAAGCAGGGGTTGCCCTCCAGTGACTGCCCAAAAGACAGAAAAACTTGAGCCTGGGCTCTGGCAAGGTGAGACCAAAATGCATTTCAGCACTAATAATTCAGTCATCAAGAAAACTAATATTTAAGGAAATATTTTAGGAGTCAAAATTAAAGAAAAAAATTACCAACAAATACCAACACATTAAATAAAAACAGGACCAATTGCTGTAGTAAGCCTAGAAATACTGGGGCCTAAGGCAGAAAGGAAAATTACTAATACCGATTCTGTGTTTATTTAAAGCTTTTATTATGTTCATCATGGGTTCCTGCATTCATTTTGATTGCTTAATATGCTGCATTATGTACAATTTGTCAGAAATACTATTTAGCTTGCTTATCATAGTATGTGTGCTCTCTTCAGTTTTGCTTCTGAAATAAAAGGGCCTCACTTGTCTAACCCTAGGCCTAAGCTGAGCTGGACCTTGGAAACTTCTCTGAAATTGCTCTTCCCACTTTAGAGAGGATGCTGTGTTTGACGAAACGCTCATCCCAATTAATTCCAAGGCGGTTAACCGGCAAATAACCTCCAACGCAATAGTGTAAACCGACAGCCATACACACAGAATTTCTTACGGAAGCAAAAGGATCCTTTTCTGAAAATGACAGGTTTCAAACGGATTGGAATTGGATCCCCGGTGCACAAGACTGCTTGATATAGGCTGCATACAACCCAAATGCTGGGATTGTCTTAAAAGTGGCAGAAACTGGAGAAGAGGATATTGAAACACTACAAGAAACACACCAAGAATTTGCTGAACATTGGCACTTCTCTGAGACAAGAAAGGAACCCCTGTGTTGAGAATCAGAGTCTTAGGCCCAGAACTTCAAATGCTCAGTGCAGTGACTTGTTTTATAATCCATGGATGTTGGTTATAGTGAGATATGGTTAGGAACTTCAGGTACAAATTTTGGTTATGCAATCAAAAACAAAGAAGAAATTCACTGATGAACACACATCCTAGGGAGATTTTTGCAAAAGGAAGTTTAGAAAATGGTCAAACAGAGGAGCATAGGTAATGATTTTTGAGACCATTTTACTGTAAGACCATTTGGGATGCTGTCTTGGTTACTTTTTTCTCGCTGCTGGGACAAAATACCTGACGCCCAAAATTAAGGAAGGAAAGGTTTATTTCGCTTACAGTTCGTGGAAGTTTCAGCCCATACTTGGCAAATTATAAGGCAGAGTGGCACGTGGCAGAGAGCTGCAGCTCAGGAAGGCAGCTACAGCTAAGCCACAAGCACACACACCAGGGCGGAATCGGGGAGGAATGCCCCAAGCACTCTTTTCCTGTCCCTTACATATGCAAACTACCCACTCCCAGGCGGATGCAGCTCTCACACCCATATTCAAACTCTAATAGCCTGCCCCAGGGCCACAGGAGGCTTTGGGGGGGGGGGGACACATAGACATAAACCATAACAAATGCAATGAACTGGATGGCACAAGAGATTTACAGGCATTCCTGAAGTATTCTTGCCAGGAAGGTTAAATTAGGATGAAGGAATTTAGGAGGCAGAGTTGGTTGCTCTTAGGAAAAATCCAAAACATCAGAGTCAGCACTGAGAGCCCACGGCAGACATAGGAACTGGGAATCACTGTGGGTAAGATTTAGGGTAGGAGACTGAGTATCTGACTCTGAGGTGCCGTGCCAGCCTTTACTTCCAGTAAAAGCTGCAGCTGAAGGGAAGGTGGACAGAATAAGAGAGCTACAACTCACTGGGAGATTGCTCTCTTGTAGTTAGAAACTTTTGTTTGAAGTAGAAAATAAAGGTACATACAAGAGAGTAGGAGCTGCTACTCAGAACCTGGGGAGTCAGCCCTGTCCTAGAGCTGGCCAGTTAGGGCTCAGGGCATGGAATTAGGACGCAGAGATCTGAATGGAGAATGCTGGCTGGACAGAGTCCCCAAAGGAGGAACATTGTACTGCTCTGAATAGGGTTGCTGGCAGGAAAGCTTCGCACAGAGAAACGGCCTGCCAGGCTCTGTAGGAAGAATGCTCTTGGCTCTGAGCTCTGCCACCACAGGGATGCAGAACAACCCTGCTTCCAGTATAGAAATCCAGCTAGCAACCGAAATTCAGCCTGAAACTAGATTTCCTGAGAAAGGGAAAGTAGCTTTGTAACTGGAGAGAGCTTGCCTGGGGAGTGTGAGGAATTCACTTCATGGTTATGCTGAAGCACGCCATTCATGGAGATCAAAACAGGCAGGGTGCACATGCGTTGATCACTGTGTGTAAAGAATTTTATCCTGGGAATCAGCTTGAAACATTATCTAGGACCCCCAAATAAATTGCACATCTTTTCCCTCCATCCCTACATGTCACTTGGGGTATTTTTTTTTTTTTTTCCGGTACTGGGAAATGAACTCACGACCTTGGGCTTGCCAGGCAGGCACTGTGCCCCTGAGCTAAATCCCCAGCCCCACTTGAGGTAAAATTTTAAAGGGTAGCTTTTGGCTGAGAAAAGAGCATCACAGGAAAACAACAACAAGTAGAAAAATAAGCAGGGATGAGTAATGTATCAGCTAGTGGCTGAGCTCCTTCCTGTTGATGTAAGGAACATTCCTGTGTGTGTAGCAAGGTGCCTTGGTGGGTCATGTGACCATTTATCATGCTATGTCCACTTATGTGGATTAAGAAAGACCCAGCAGACTACCAGGGCACGGTTTGGAGTGTGTCTGTGGATGGCTGACATGTAAACTGATCGGGGGAGACCAGCCCCAGGGCCGGGGAGGTGACACCAACCAGTAGACTTATAGTGTAGACAAAGGATAATAAGGGAAAGAGGGGAGTGTCTGTGTTTTGAAAGAGCTCCAGTCTTGCGTTCCCTTTGGACATCTGTTTCCAGTGATTTCACCCTTCTAAGGCAGACTCATATTGGCAACTCTAGAGTTGCCAAGCCTTCGACTTTTGACTGGTGCTGCATCCTTGATTCCTCTTGTTCAACAGCGAACATCTTGGGCTGAGCAGATACTGAATTCTGTGGCTCTCCAGGGTGTAGACAGTGATTGTGCACTTTTCCACATCTGACCCTACAAGTCTACCTAATAAATCCCACTGTGAACTACACATATGCAGTATTTTCTATTGATTCTGTTTCTCTAGACAGCCCTAAATAAAACGGATAGTATGTTCTGGATGAGAGAGCACCAAGGTGTGGTCTAGTTAGGTAGGGCAGACCAGAGGGAGCCACTTGGTTCTTTCTTTAAAAATAGAAGAGGCTGTAAAGACTTGAGAATTCACTGTGGTAGATATGGTGCCTTGTTGAAGAATGGAGGTGAAAGGTGACACCTGCAGGGAAGACAGAAAACAGCATGAAAGACTTCGGGCCCTAGGGGTGAAATCTACTAGGCAGAAACTCACTGTAGGATAGACAGTTTGTGCTGAATTTGAAGTTACCTTTTGTGTTGTGATAACTCAGAACCTACTCTGCTCACCCTCACACGCTCCATCAGCAGTCAGAAACCCCTCTAAACACAAATGGTTTCTGATGGTGTTTTGAAGGAAAAGAAAAAGCCTCGGGAGTCAGTATTCTGTGCTTGAATTGGTAGTGGGGTGACTAAATATGAATAGTCACAAAATGTGAATTTGAGAATGCAACTGGTAAAACATGGGAACGGAATGAAACAGAAACCAAAGCCCCTGAAACTCGTTGGTCTGGGGCTCAACGGAGGGTTGGAGAAATTGGGGATGGGTTCCCCTGCCATGTAAGCGGGGACCTCCAGCCATTATACTTCACTATTACAGTAAAAGGTGACCCTGTAAGCTGCAAACAGGACCTCAAGGTGACTGACGTAGAAATGAGGGCTTAAATGTCATCACACACCACATAATGGCATAATAGAGTTCCTTTTCCCAGAGTAATCATAATGCACTTGAGAGAAGGTTTTTATATGAGTAAAGAGAACATTATTTTTGAATATTTAATGCGGAATTGCCATAGAATAAAATGATCATTAAATATGTAAATGCTATTTACACGTGCTTATTACTCCAATAACTCATCTCTTATATAATATGATGTCTGTGCCCTAATTTGTCACTTGGTCATGGGCTCCACAAATCAAAATCTAGGGCAGCTTCTCATAATGGAGCAAGTTGATGAAATCACATGCAAAAAAAATCTCCTTTCACTGCTAACAGTAGGCTTCTGCGTTTGGCCTTGTTTCTCCCTATTGAAGAAAGATGGAAATAAGCACCCCATGAAGAGCTGATGTAATGCCAGGTGGTAAAGGGTCATGTGAATCCAAGATAAATACAAATGCCCAGCCTCAAGTGGAGATGAGGGGTTGCCATAGTCTCCTTTCATATGCAGTGCTAAGCAAAGGATTAAGAAATTTTAAAATCTGCCCTTTTGTTTATCAAAGATTAGTTAATCTTCAACCTTCTCGTAAGGTCTGATATGGCGATATTTATTATTTTAAAAGTAAAATGAGATGAGGCCAGCAAGAGCTTCCTCTCTTGCTCTGATGATTATTAATGTGTTTTTTCCTTGCTTTCATCAATGGTACCAAAACCTGCTACTCAAAGCACAGTCTGTAGACCAGCCGGACTGGAACCACCAGAGTGTGCTAGAAACGCATCCTCTCAGATCATAGCCAGAGCTACAGAATTGGAATCTGCACTTTGACCAAGTCACCAAGTGAACTATACACACATTTGTGGTTGTTTTATAAGCATTCATTTGGCAAACTGGAGCTATGTTTCCTAGAGACCCTTTCCCAAGGAATCCCAAAACAGAATAAGCCAAAAGAGAAATTTACATAAGACATACGAGGTGGGAATGAAGCAGCATCTTTGCTTTCTCAGTGGCCTTAAGGCTGTGCATGTGCACCCCTGTGTTTCAGCTTTAGAAAGCTTCTAAGATTTCCTAAGGTCCAATTGGCCATAGTAACGGGAAGTCCAAGTCAAACCTTCAGAAAGACTTAGTCATGATTTTTTTCTGATTCTCCACTTAACTTCTCAGCTCACTCCACAGCTTTACTAGGTCTAGTTGCTATAATTCCCCTACTCCATCTTGCTTATGCTAGTCTTGCTTTCTTGGCTGAACCCTTACTAATAATAGGTTGAGATTTGGAAACACCAGTTTAGGCTGCATGCGCGATTAACAAGATGCATTGCAAGTTAGAGATTTCCAGCAAACCCACTAGCTCCATTCTTTTAGATGGTTTACCTGAATGAAATATATGCTTTTCAAAGCAGTTTTAGAGAGCGCTGGAGGATCTCATTCTCCCTTATGCTATTAGAACTAATTAAGAGAAGATAATGTAGCCTGGGAAGCCTACGGAAGTCCTTTCAGCATGGTAAAAAGTTTCAACTTAGGAGAAGTAGAAGGAAAGGTTCTCATTCTGGACAACTACTTTCCCCAACTCTTGAAAGTTGTCCAGGTACATTTTTTGACAACAAGTTTTGATGTCTTTCTGGGTTCATTAGGGATCTTTCATTTGCAAATAATAGATCACAAGTCAAAACCAGCTTAAGGTGTTTGAAAATATTGCTTTTTGCTTTCCCTACTTAACTGGAAGGTTGGTTTTGCTTTGTTTTGTGGTTACTATTGCAGGGAGGGGTGAGTAGAATTTATGGCATGAATTGTTTGAAGGAGTTAGAAAATGTCACAGGGACTGATTTGCTTCCCATCTCTGTCCCTGTCAGCCTCCTTCTTGGAAGGATTTATTTCAGTGTCTAGCAGACAGTTCACAAGTCTAAAGTCAAGGGATCAACAAAAAGAGCACCTTCTTTCTAGACACCCATGCAAAACTTTTGGGGTGAAAGCCAGAGGACCTGAAGGGTTGGATTTCTGTCTCTAGTCTATCCATGAGGAATCCTTTGATGGGGAAAAGGGATGCTGTGACTGTCCAGACCAAAGTCATAGGCCAGAGCAACCCAGTAGCTGCAGTGGGAATAGTCTCTATCTAAACTATTCTGCAGGCCTGGGGACTGGCTGAGGGCACCCACAAGCCATCACCACTACCACCGGAGGAAACACACATGCCCACTTTGGCTGTGATTGTCGTACACTTTGAATACAAGGCACTGAATTTCTAGAAAGCAAGTAGAAGAGGGGGCATCATAGTTTCTAAAT